GAAGCCCTTTTCGGGGGGTTCTGTTGTATGGGGGCTAGGTGAAATAATGGACCGATTTTAACCATTTTCAATAGGCCAAAACCAAAACAAGCGTGTGTGCCAAATTTCATCCAATTATCTTGAAAATTGCGACCTGTACCTTGCGCACAAGGCTTACACGGACAGTCAGCCAGACGGTCGGACGGGCATAGCTTAATCGACTCAGAAAACTATTCTAAGCCGATGGGAATCGAACCCACAACCTCCACTATAAAAATTTTCGTTATAATTTTAATTTTATAACAAATATTTGTTCAATTTCATGGTCAATATTTGTCAATTTTACCCTAAGTTTTCTATTTACATATACATACCTACAATTTTTAGATACATTTTGCATTAATTCTATATGCATTTAAATTTCCCAATAATTCTGCAATTGCGAATTAAAATTCTAGAAAATTTAAATTTTATGCTTGAGGGAAACTTGAGGTTTTGGTGTTTAAAACACATACAGTTTCAATTTCAATTTAGTTTGCAAAAAAGCCAAAATATTATTTCGATAAATTTAATGTGAATGTGATAACCACATTAAAAGATAAAATTCTATATCATACCTTCACCTATTTTTCGAGTGAGTTGATTGTACAAGTCACTCTTTCGTATCTAAGTTTTGAACATGCAAATCTTTTATGGATTAAAGTTGAACTTTATTAAAAACTTGGGAATAAATTTTACCCAAACATAGTAAATATATCGGTTAATGATCTGACCCTTTATCTAACTCTTTTTAAAATATTCTATCTAGGTAAAATACGAAATAATTGTTGAACTAAACTAATATTTTTCATAAATTTGAAATAAGTAGAAACGAAAAAATTTTCTTCCCAACACAATAAATATATCACATATCGCTCATATTTTACAGATGATCTTAAGTAGTCCCTCTCATTCGAGAAAAACAAAACTCTCTTACTCTTCATCACTTCACAGAAAAAAATGTGCTCATTATATATTTTTTGTGAACACTGTAAGTATGTACTTACTTGTACATACTGATGCAGTACATACTGATAGATACATATGAGTAATTGGGTATGAAAACTGAAAACACCTTTTAAGTAAAAATTAAAAACAAAAATCCATAAAAATTCGTATGAAATACAATAAAAATTTTAAGTTCAAACAAGTTGATTTAATGGTGATGTCAACAATTGCATCAAGGTAACGAAATACCAGTCTCGTCACTAATTGTTCAAATAAAGACTGTTATATAGTAGATAAGTTTTGCTGGTGATCTAATGTAAGGAATTATTTTATATAGTTTATTAAATTTTATAATATTTTCTGGGGTTTCTCTTATTTGTTTAAAAAAAAAAACTAAAATACGTGGATAATAAATTCACACAATAAATAAAAAACAATATAAAGCAAAGAAAAACCGGCAAAGTCATAATGATAAGAAATCGTATGTACATACATACATACATACATACTATGTGAGAGTACATAGTAACAATAATGGAGTGGTTGGTTGGGTGCTTTATCACCCAATTAAAATATATAGAGCGGTAAACAGTGTGGACAGCAAGCTGAATTTTTGAAAAACAATTTACCATTTTTTTAGTTTTCAAAATGATTTAAGAGCTTTTTGCTCTCAGATTTACTGTTTCATTTAACTTGCGAATAAATTTAAATTAAATTTGACATTTAAAGCAGTTATCTAAAAAATGTCTATTTTTGGAAATTGATTCAAATCTTGTCCTAATAAACGTTTTATTCCAATAAATTCTTTTAATTTCTATCGCGATAAATTGAAATAAACTCTAAATGCGCATTATTCTTCTAATGATCGCTCTTCTTTGGTTTTCAATTTGTGAGAACTTATCATACTGTTACATTTGTGCTCTATTTACAAAATCTCTTACTCTCGTTCATTCATTCATTATTTTGCTTTAGTTCTCGTTCTCCTACCAAGTCCAATGGTTTCTTTGAGATACATACATATCTTTGTTTTTGTATTTTACGATGACTCGTTGCTTTTTCCACATTTTATTGACAAATTTCTCAGATGTTTTTTCTTTTTTGTGTGTTTATATATTAAAACATAGGTACATACAATTGTGTGATTTTGCTTTGGTTTTTGTTCGGTTTCTTCTTTTCTTATATTCTTGATTTTTAACTAATTGTTGTTTTTATTTTTGTACCTAAGTTCATACATATGTTTGTATGTATATTGTGATGAGAATGTTGTTAAACTCTTCTTTTATGTTTTCATTTGGTCGTTGCAGATCCCTGCAGTTCGACAAATAGTCAATGCAACCGAAAAATATAGTCATTTCCACTAACGTCTAACCACCTGCTTGACTCTAATTCATCTTTCGTCACGAAGTAAAGACAGTTGTCACTTTAAAGACCCCTTTGTAAGAGAGAGCGGATACATTCATCACTTTATAGTACCCAAGTAATCTAAAGAGTAAACAGTTAAAAAATAAACTATCTGACTGTCTCTTTGTAATCTATGCAGTGACTCCTTGTGGAACTAGACATGTTAAAATAGCTAGATATCTGGATAAGTCGCTGTTACGCCGAACTGCTGGGATATTATTATTTTCTACTCTATCCATTCTACCCCGCTTGTTGGTACTGCACAGTGGGGTTTAAAGTGCACCTACTTATTTAAATGATTTAATTGACTTAGAGGAATTTTAAATGGGCAATTGCAAATATGACTTTTATACACTTATGGTCATAACAAAGTAGTGCATTTTTTTAATATCTATGTATAAAAAATGGAAGATTATATTAAGCAATTGAAGGTCGAAGTATGTTTATAAATAAACTTAATTGAAATAATTATGTATGCCGGCACATATTCAGTAGATTGTTTAAATAATCAGATATCAGTAACAAAACTACTTTTTAAATAAAAATAGCAAAATTGATTCTTATTTTAAACTAGTTCAAAGTCTGACACTTTTAAACCCAACAATTAAGTGTGTTATAATCGGCAATGACGAATCTTCAATACCTTTAATAGTGAGTAATTTACTTAAAATGTATTTCAGAAAGTACCCTATTAAGAACTTAAGTCATAATGGTTCATTTTTCTTTAACCTTTTTGGGGGCATTGGTTTATATCTAAGAAATTTATAATTCTGTAAGGGGAGTTATATGAGAGAAAAGGTCTATGATGATCATTAAAGTAATTTTGAATCCGGTCTATATTTATTTAGTTGTCCATTACAATACATTACAATTATATTCTAACCTAATTTACCGAGTGATGATGAGCTGATGGGAATTGAACCTACAACCCCACAGGGGTCTTTATATTATGATTTCTGCGTACATAAAACTAACATGTGCAAAATTCTAACTTGATTTCGACATGAGCTTGATTCTGAATCATCGGAATATACGATACGATTTGACCAGATTTGATCAGTTTTTATACCCTACACCACTATAGTATTTGTAACGCTTAAAAATATTGGTCCTACACCCACCTTAAAGTATATCTATCGACTCAGAATCACTTTCTGAGTCGATTAAGACATGTCCGTCTGTGCCGCTGGCTGTCCATGTAAACCTTTTGCGCAAGCTACAGCCCACAATTTTCAAGATATTTTGATAAAATGTGGACCATACGACGGCCACTAGGACGGTGTCTATTGAAAATGGCTAAAATCGGTCCATTATTTCACCTAGCCCCCATTACAATCTTACCTTCCGATTTAGGGTTTTTAACTCATAACTACGTCAAATATACTACAATTTCACCAAATATACTACTATGGCACAACTAAGTTCTATATAGACATAAATAACCATGCCTATTTTTATAATGATCGGCCGTCGTTTGACCCTAGCCCCATGCAAACCGCCCTCTAAAACGTCCAAAAATTTTTTATAACCATTAGTATCACGATTAAATTCAGCGCAACTAACCTTTATATAAAATTACATCCTTTCTTCCCATATTTGACCCTAACTCCCATATAAAGCCTCTTTTAGAAATTTAGTTTTTCATCAATAAATTGCTTAAATACATCGGAATTAAGGTAGAATTCAACATAAAAGTTTATTTGTGAAAAATAAATAATTTTTAAAATATACCTATAGTGTAGGGTATAATATAGTCGGCCATGTCCGACTATACTTTCCTACTTGTTTATTTATGAAAATTTCCGACCCTTAAGTTCTCGAATCTGAACTCTGTAATGCCTTCAATAGATACATAGATTGCTGTGCGGATGATAATGTGAAAATTGTTTTAGAATGTCATAAGGACCCAGGACCTTTATTGTGTTATTCAACGAATGACAAAATTTATGACAATTTCAAAAATGTCTTAATCTCTATGAGCAAACTGACATTTGGATTGACAGTGGATTTCAAAGAGTTCTTTTATCAAAAAAAAGCTTAATTTAACGAAGCCGGTATTCAAAATACCCCAGAGTTTAAACCCCCTCGGCATAAAAGTGTTCCTTTCTTGAATTCTAAACAAATTTTCCAGTACATTTCTCATGTCACAATATCCATGGACATTGCATTAATGGACAAATAGCATTAAATTTTAGATTCTCAAGGTTCACAATTGATATCAGTACCTCAAACGATGCAACAATGTTAATTATACATTCTTATAACTGTTCTAAGTTACACACAAGGCAAACATTTTAAAAATTCAATCCTTGTTATATCTTTGAGATATATTTGGGTTAAAAATACTCCCATAATACCACAGTGCAATCATCAACGTCATTATTCGTAAGTACGAAATGATAAAAACAAAATATATACTCAACACTCATATACAGGCACTTATTTATTTATTTCTTCATTATAGGTACACATTGCCTATTTTCTCGTAGTGTAGTGTAATATTGTTTTGTATTTTCCCAACAAAAATAATAAAAATATCAGCTCTTCTCTATTTGAGCACAAACACATGCCAACATACATACATACATACATACATAAATAAGTAGGTACCACAACCGCACTGTGTATATACTTTTTAGCATTTTTTCATTGTACTCGTACTTTCTATTAGCGTTGAGTTTTATAGTAAGAGTATCTCAGTATCTGTTGATTGTTAAACAGATCGGTCGACGTGCTTGCGGTAGTATCTTTTAGTGCGTTTGTGCGTAAGGTTTAGTTTAAATACAAAAATAAAATTATCCAAATTATAAAAATAACAATAACCTGTTTCTTTATGCCAGTTACAGAGTGTAAAAAAAATTAAGGAATAAAAAAAAAATCAAAATTCCATTAACAAAATTTTTTAAAAAATACAACCTAGTCGTTTCGAAAAACACGTTGTAGCGATTTGTTAAATAGCTTAAAGAATTTTTTTTGTAGTGAATTAAATTTTGTTATATTAAAATTTTACTTTAAATTTTTTTGTTCTATTTTTTAAGTTCAAGTTTATGAAATAAACAAGTGGTTTTATTGTTCTTATTATTAATAAATTCTTGCAGTTGCTGTTTAATTTTTTTTATTCGTGTTCATCTATATTTATTTTAAAACAAATTCAATATGAGGGAAATCGTTCATTTACAAGCTGGTCAATGCGGTAACCAAATTGGCTCAAAGGTTAGTATAATAATAATAATAATAATATTTGAAAAATTTAAATATTTTTTCATTACAATAAGTTTGCTTTATCAAAGGCGTGTTACTTTGTTAAGCATTTTTTTACTGCTTCTCGTGATTTAAATGACTCTTAAATTAAAATTTATTCAGTTTTTTCCATTTTTTCCTAACCTCAATATTTAATTATAACACATGAGTACATTTTACCATGTTGTTGTTTTCTTTTCGTTATTTCTTATTCATGTTTCTTCTAGTTCTTTCATTTTATTTTTTTTTTTTTATCAATAGAAAGCGTGCAATTTTATTTTTCATTTCTTCTTGTTTATTTTTTTTTTGCTATCTCTATACTCTCATTGCTGGTATCGTGAGTTATTACCTCCCTCTTTTGTATACCCTACTTTTTGCTAACATTGGGTGGGTATATCTGATCAATTTAGGGCAAAAGCAACATGTTCAGTTAGGTATCTTCTCAAATAAATTTTTGGACCGATTAAGTTTTGATATCATGTTGAAACTAAATTAAGGGTAATTGAAACAGGTTAATGTTTTACCTATACCAGTTATGGATATACATTAGGGTGGCCCGTGGACCACTATACTGTACGAAAACCTCTCAAACGTTATACTGAACACGAGAAAAACATTTTGCTGAAAGGAGCCTCAGTTCCCTACCGGTGATCTCAGTACAATATGCTAAAGAAATTCTCTGCATTATTTCCGTAATTTTGAACAGACTACGGCTACCAGTTATATGGGGGGTAAAAGAAATATTTAACTGATTTAAACTATTTTCAATATGCTCGGGTCGAAAGCATGTATGTACGTTCCAAATTTCATAAAAATATCTATAAGGTTTATATAGACAGCCAGTCGGAAGGACGGACATATAGATATGCCTTAATCGACTCAGAAAGTAAATCTGAATCGATCGGTATACTTTAAGATGGCATCAATATTTTTGTGGATACAAACTTCAGCAGAAACATATAATATCTTCAACACTATTGAGGTGTAGGCTATAAAAATTTACAGCTAATGATTCACTTTTAACTTACAATCCATAGGTTAAGGTACTAAAATGTCGACCCTGTCTATATACATTTAATTTGTACCTTTGTATATCGTTTTATTTTTAGTTGCATACTATGTTTTTTTTATCATAGTTGTTGTTTTATTTTTTTATATTATTCTGCCATATTTTGCATTTAATTCTTTTACAATGTCTGGCTGGGTGTTAAGTGAGCTAGAGCAATAATATACCGGCAGAGCGTCTCTAATTAATATAAAACCTCTAAAAAGATGTAAAACATCGGAAAACTAATTTGCAATAGTATTAAGAACATGTGATAAAGACATAACACTTTTAAGAAAATATACCTAGTTGTTGCTATTTTTTATTCTTTCCGCTAAACAACTTGCATTTTAAATTTATTTTTATATAAAAATATGTTTTGCCATTGGTCACAGTGGCGTCGTTAGCTTTAAGTGATGATGACGTTATTTAATACAGTCATCGTTTTTTTTATTAAATATTGTAAACAAATCGAAATACTAAGAATATATTTTGTTATCCTACAACAGTATTGTGGTGACAACAGTATGCATTCTAAATAAAATTTTTATAGATTTTCACTTTCGCAATTAGTTTTAATAAAGAACTTTTAAGAACGATTGTGGTTTTATGACTAATAACTGGTTCCCTCAGTTAGGAAAAATAATTTTGTTTTTCTGTTCCATTCAGAAAATACTATATTTGGAAAAACAAATGCATTCCATTTGGAACCTTGTTATCCAAAATATATAGTAAAATATGGCGATATCTTACGTGACAAACATCTGCGAATTTCATAGATGTTTCTGTTTTATTTTAATTTCTTACACTAAGTTACATATTTTTCCATCGTTTTCCATAATTTTTAAATAAAAACATTTTAAGACAATTTTATAATGAACATATTAGAATATCGTACGTGACTCATTGTATGTGACATATGTTTCCCTTCAGTTTTTTTATTATAAAATATATCTAAATATATGAATTTAAACTTTGTATAGGACCTCGAGTCAAATGAGGTCCGATCGTTATGAAATTCAACAGTATGGTTTTTAAGCTTATATACATTTAAGATCTGCCGAAATTAGAAAATAAATGAGAACCTATAAAAGGGGACTTTTTGGTACATTTTCGTTTTTTTTTTTAACTGGAACTTTTTTTAGCTTTCTATAATATTGAACCTAGCGACATGAAATTAAGCGAGTAAAGCCCGGAGTAAATGAGAACCTATAAAAGGGGATTTTTTGAAACAAGAGCAAGCAAGTAGACCCCGGAATAAATAAGAACCCATAAAAAGGGACTTAAGAATACTGTTTCGGTCTTCAAAAGGTACTTTTTTAATTTCCTATAATATTGAACATTGAAACATAAAATTAAACATTCAGAGTTCCGAATAAATGAAAATCTGTAAGAAAGGGTTATTGGTACTTTTTGTTCTATAACTGGTACTTTTTGAGTATTTTATACTTTTAAGTCTTTTATACTTTTTAAATCTTCTATAAAACCAAAATATACTTTTTGAATTTTCTATAATTTTGAACCTAGAAACATATCTGAGAAAGTCAATGAGATTTTTGAAGGGATAGTAATATATTTAACATAATTAAGAGCTAAAAAGCGATATTTGCAGGTCCGGTTATATAGAGGCTTGGTGCCGTGTTTGGTGCAAAAAAAAAAGGATCATACACCAAACTTTGTTGAATTACACAGGCCGACAAAATTTAAAAAAAATCGAAACTCTGAGACCAAGTTATACGTTTCTAAGGGATTGAGTCATGCTGAATCCGAATATTACTTCAGATTTTCTCCAATACTTCAGGGATATGAGATATCGTGTCCGAAATTTGAAAAATGTCATGTCTTTTTAAGACGTTATAACAGCGCCAATGCAACTTTATTTATACATCTGAAAGTCCATTTTATCAACTTTAAAATAAAGGCTTAACGTCTGACATATCTTCTTTATTCTTCAAGATATCTTCACCTAAATGTAGAAAACTTATGGTTTTCGGTATATTTATGGTATTTATACTCTACACTACTTTAGTGCGGAGATTATTATGCTTTGTTAATATTGTTTATTATGAACAAAAATATTGGATCCACACCTATCTGAAAATAATCCAATTGACTCCAAATCACTTTCTGAGTCGACTCAAAGATGGCTGTCTGTTCGTCAACTTCAAGGGACGATATCTCAGAAACTATAGCAGATTTTTAAACAATTAAAAAAGTATTTTCATAGGAAACATTTGGTATGAATAAGTTGACTTGGTGCTATTATAATGTCTTAAAAAGGAACAAAAAAGGCGTTTTTCAAACTCAGGACACGATATCTCAAATCCCAGATATGATGGTTGAAATTTTGAGGCCAGATTTGGATTCAGCGCAGCTCAATACATACTTTAGAAAGTTTAGTTTAGTTTTATTTTTCAGTCGTGGTTTACATTTTCATGGAATGACCCATATATACACTTGCTGAAGGCTAACCTAACATAACAATTAAAATTAATTTTTTGCTATAAGACTTGTTTGATTTTAAGCATTTACCTAAAGTCAAGAACATTCAACCAAAAACTTTTTGCTATTTTGTTTTTCCGCATTTTTTAACACCTTATTTTATATGTTTTCTAAAAAAAACCAACAAAAGTAACTGCAAACATATACATATATGTCATTAATTAATTACTTAATGTTCTAATATTATATATACAATACAAATTTATTGAAAAAAAAAATAATAAAAAAGGTTAAACAAATTTGTATAAAAACTTATCACATTAACAGCAGTCGAAATTGCATTTAAAAATTTGTTTACCTGTTTCCCTGACTTAATCCCTATACCTAATCAACCAGCTGTTTAAATACCATTACTAAGTAACAGTAATAAATATTGGCAAATAAATTTCTAATAGGTACATACAATACAAACACAAAATACTGGAAGGTCATTCTAAAAATAAATTTGAAAAACAATAGCCAATGTATTCTAAAATACCAAAGACAATATTTAAATTTGTTTAATTAACTAGAGCGCAATTAAGAATCTATGATATAGACTCAAGACCCAAGACTAATTGGCAATAATGTTAAAGAAATTTTTTTACAACAAAAGACAACAACAAATGTTGACGAAATCTATAAATTATTTATTCATAAAATTCTTAAAATATTTAAATTAATTATCAACGGTAGATTTATGATAACAAATTTAATAAAAATTTGTTTAAAAAAATCTTAAAAAACAAGACTGTCTTGTCTGTTGTTTAAAAAGCAGTTTGATGTTAATTTTTTCTTAATTAGTTGGTGGGGGGAGGTTCTTATTATTTAATAAATACTATTTTTTAAAAACAAGTTTTTTTTTTGTTATTAGAAAAACATCTACATATTTGTCTAATCTAAAGTTCAATTGAATTTATTAACTGACACCATTTAAATGTTTTTTTTTTTTTCTAATGACAAATGAAAATGATTTAATATTTTTTTGTCTAAAAACAATTTTATTACAAAAACTTTAAGTATATAGAATTTTACACGCAAGCAAGTAATAGTTTATTTTTAAACGTAAATTATCTTATCATTGCTCTATGTACGATGTACATATGTATTTTTTCGCTATAGTTTATATGTACATAAACGAGTCATAACAGGCGCTTTATGATGTTTACACTGATACCTGTTTGAACAAACAGTCTGTGAGTAATAGTTTTATGTTAGAGATTTTCTATAAGGTCATCTTGATTAACTACTGAGAAAGATTATAAAATTCCTAGACGATTTAGCTTTATCCGTCTGTAGTGCCCAAACGATAGAAACTACCTAGAATGCTAAAATTAATCCCAATAGATTTCTTTTGAAGCATAAATAACGTAGTTATGAGCAAAAACATCGAGACAACCTCTGAAAATTTCATCAAGAAATTAGCATTTTTGTGCTTGTTTTGACA